ATTACTATTTTTACCTGGTATTATTATAGCCACTCTGCTTTCTTTTGCATGCCATTTATATAGAATATCTTTTTTCATTCTTTCACTTTCAACCTATGCATGTCTTTAGATCTAAAATGAATCTCGTAGACAGCATATAGTTGGTTTATGTTTTTTAATCCATTCTTCCAATCCATGTATTTTGATTGGGGAGTTTAGTCCATTTACATTTAAAGTTATTACTGATAGAGAAGGACTTCCTATTGCCATTTTGTTCATTGTTTCGTATGTCTTATAGCTTTTTTTGCCTCTCATATCCTCCCTTATTGCCTTCCTTTGTGTTTAGGTGATCTTCTGTCTAGACACATTTTAGTTACCTTCTCATTTCTTTTGTGCATATTCTGTACAAATTTTGTCGTCACCATGAGGATAATATAAAACATCCTAAAGTTATAGAAATCTAGTTTAAACTGATAGCAACTTAACTTCAGTCATATACTTAAACTCTGTTCTCTTACAGTTCTGCCCCCCCTTTGTATTATTGATATCACAGGCTATATCTTATTGTACCCATTAACAAAGATTTAATTTTTTATGCTTTTGTCTTTTAAATCCTATAAAAGAATTAAAAGTGGCATTATAAACCAAAATTACAATAATACAGGCCTTTATATTTGTCCACATCTTTGCGTTTACTGGGGAACTTCATATTTCCATATGGCTTCAAGTTATTGTCTAGCATCCTTTTGTTTCAACTTAAAGGGGAGTCCCTTCAGCATTTACTAGGGCAGATATAGTGGTAATGAACTCCCTCAGTTTTTGTTTATCTGGCAGTTTCTTAATTTCTGATTCATTTTTGAAGGATATAGTATCCTTTTGTTGGATATAGTATTCTTGACAGGTTTTTATTTTAGTACTTTAAACATACCATTTTGCTGCCTTTTGGCCTGCAAGATTTCTGCTGAGAAATCCTGACAATGTTATAGATGCTCCATTGCATGGGAAAGTCATTTTCTCTTGCTGCTTTCAGGATTTTCTCTTTGGCTTTTGACTGTTTGATTATAATGTGTCTCACTGTGGGTCTCTTTGGAGTTCATGAAGCTTGTTGTATTTGTATATCCATTTCTTTCCTTAAATTTGGGGAGTTTTCAGCTATTATTTCTTCTTTGACCCTTTCTCTCTTTCTCTTTTGAGATTACATTATTGCATTTTTAGTTCACTTGATGGTTTCTTAAGTCCTTTAGGCTCTGTTCATTTTTCTTCATTTTTCTTATTCCTCCTCTGCCTGATCATTTCAAATGATCTGTCTGCAAGTTTATGAGTATTTCTTCTACCTGTTTAAGTCTGCTGTTGAATCCTTCTAGTAAATTTTCAATTTAGCTATTGTACTTTTCAGCTTTAGTATTTGTTTGGTTCCTTTTTATAATTTCTTTGTTGATACTCTCTTTTAGTTCATATATTGTTTTCCTGATTTAAATGTCAATGTTGTCCTTCAGCTCATGGAGTATATTTAAGACAGTTGTTTTAAAGTCCTTGCCAAGTAACTCAGAGACCTGTGTTCTTTTAGAGTCAAGTTTATGGAGATTCATTTTGTTCCTTTGAATGGGCCATGTTTCCTTGTTTCTTTGCATGCCTTGTGATCTTATGTTGAAAAATGGGCATTTGAACAAGAAAAGCTACTTCTCCTAGTCTTTGCAGACTGGGCTGCATGCAAGAGAAGACCCTCACTAATCAGCCTGGTATGAAAATGTTCAGGGTCTGCTCAAACCTTTTCTGGGGTTGTGTCTTTCTTGGGCCCGTGTATGCACTTTAATTACTGTTTTCCATCCTGCTGCTTTGAAATGTCCTAATTTCCCTAAGAGTCTTACCTCTGCTTCTTCTCAGGGCTTTAGATGCTGTATTGTATTCCTCTGCCCATAACTGCTTGCCTCTAGGTTCCTGTGGTTCTGCAGACCCCCTGTAGCTCTCAAATGCAGCTGTGCCCACCACTTGTTTCAGCAGCCTCCAACCTGATATACAAACTGTACCACCATTCCTATCAGTGCTCTGAGCCAGGAGAGACACATACAAGTCCTTAAGCAGCCACTGGATGAGCTAGAACATTGGCAAGCAATTTCCACTCTTTTCTTCCCATCCCAAGGGAGGAGCCAGGAATTGGGTGGCCAAGTGGCTTCCTCCTGACCATGTTGTGCCAGGAAGGTGGAGGAAGGAAGAGTAAGAAAAATCACCATGAAATTTCCTACCATTTTGAATGTAGCTTTTTCTTGGGTTAGGCCTTCCATTGGTTGCTGCCACTGCTGCCTAATTAATTTCTAGAGTTTGCATAAAGCAACTTTGGTCTGTATATTATATATTCAGTATTTCAGTGGGGGAGTAAGGGCCTAGAGCTTCCTAATCCACATCTTGCTGGTGTCACTCTCTGCTATCTTTTTTTAATTTTTTTTTCCTTTTTGTCTTTTTTACTGACCGGTAACGGGATCGCAACCCTCAGTGTCACGCCCGTACCAGGGACTGGCAACAGGATCGCAACCCTCGGTGTTGCACCCGCACCATGCTCAGCCAGTGAGCGGGAACCAGTCTCCACATGGGATCCGAACCCACGGCGGGAGCGCCGCCACACTCCCAAGCGGCGCACTCTCCAGTGCGCCACCGGGCTGGCCCTCTGCTATCTTTTAAAGATATATTTTTGGTTTTTTAAAGAAAAGCCTATTTATATTTATCAGATATTACTATTTCTGACACTTTTTTTCTTCCTTATGATGTGTGTATGTAGATTCACATTTCCTTCTGGTATCATTTTCCTTTTGTATGAAAGACTTCCTTTAACATCTCAAGTACAGATCTTTCTGTACTTAGTAACTTCTACTGACTTGTCTTAAAGTTCACTGTTCCTTTTTCTGCATTGTCTAAATTGCTGCAGAACTTACCCAGTCAATTTTTATAAAGATTACAAACTCTGTCTCTGTTATCATGGGCAGTGGATGAGTTCTCTATTCTGCTCTTTAGAGCACAGCCATTCCCTTGTTCCTAGTTGTTTTCACCCTGTAAGTGGTACTTAGGTGTCTGCCAAGGATTTAAGGGAAATATATATGCAGATTTTGAGTGTTCCCTTTTTCTAGGATTTCCCACTTGGAAATCTGCACTGTCTTGGCAGCCCTGCTCTCTCACTTTTCAGCCCAATAAGACTACTACTACTTTTTGTTTGCGTTCTATGCCTTGTGAACCTATGAGCTAGAATGGAAAGTGCTCTTGAGAGAAGCTAGATGAATGTGGCTCTCAACCAGCTTGCTGCTGTTTCCAAGGATGTCACTTCCAGTTTTCACATACTATTGATTACTTATCTATGCCTTCATTTATATTTTTAAAACACTTTTTTAAATGGGAGAAACCTGAGCATAATCAAAATCTATCAAATTCCAGTAATGTAGTAATCTGAAGAAATTTTTATAAGAAAAATTTATATTTTAGTTTAAAAATAATACTAATATGATGACAGTCTATAATTCTTTCCATCGAAAGATGGTATATTTAAAAACAATAATATATGGGATTTTTTATTTCTTTTGCAGGATATAGCAAATGAAGAGCACAAAAAAATTGAAGCGTTAAAATCAGAAAACAAGAAACTTGAAAAACAAAAAAGAGAATTAATGACAGGGTTCAAGAAACAATTAAAATTAATTGATGTTTTAAAAAGGCAGAAGGTGAGTCTATCTTAAAAGTTAAGTCATAGATATTACTTGGACCTTCTAAAATAGTTAATATTTTTATTTTAGGTATGTTTAATTTTTATTTTGACATCATTAACCACAAAATTCTCTCTATATAAAATACATTACACATATGAAATCTAAAATATAATAAGATTTATATATAATGTGTCACCCAAACAAAAGGATATTTTTCCATGTAAGTAAATTAATTAGTAATATGGAAAATGGGACGGGTATATATAGTATGGGTAATTCCCCACTACAGAAAGTACCATATACAAGAATGACTCTTATCTTAGGATATTGTTTTCATCTTTAAACCTTAAACAGTGAACACTGAATCCAAACCACTATTGTTCATTTCTCTAAACATGGGCTACCTGGTGATGAGAAGATGTGAATTTTCCCCCTTTGTGCAAAGGTCAGGTATTACAATACAATATTATTGAATTATTCTCCTAACAATAGGTTGGTTCAGTACCACTGTTGTATAAAAAAAGGATTTCATAGGCTGATCCTTGAATGTAATTTCCATTTCAGATATCATGCTTTTTGGAATTAGAGTATATGTTCCTATAAGAAAGCTTATATTTTTATAGCACATTATCCACACACTTTTATCAATTTTCCTGTTGTTCCGTGGTCTACTCTGAATACTAACAGATAATATTGACTTTTTTAAAAAAAACAGCTGCACATTGAAGCTGCCAAGCTGCTATCTTTCACTGAAGAGGAGTTTATGAAGGCACTTGAATGGGGAAATTCATGAATGCTCTATGAGATTAGTCTTTGTGATGGTCTGTGGTGAATTGCCATTCTATTTAACTTAAACAAGTTTTAATGGTTTGGATTATTTTTATTCTTTGTAAGTAATAAAAATATTCAATTATAAAATCAAAATAATTTCAAAGACTTCTATGTATAGATTTGGGGGGGTATAAATATGTTACTCTGATATGTAATTATTAGAAAAAGGCAATATTTTGTAAAATAAAGTAATCTTCACTCTCTTTACTTTGGTCCTCCCTTACAGTAGACAAAAAAAGATGCTTTAAAAATTCTAAATATTTATTTCCCTGGCCAAGTCAAGGAGGTTAAGTTCCTAAACAGAGAGAGCATTCACCTTGGGCTAGACGTCCTGTATTAATCAAGATAAATATACTGTTCTGAGGATGGGGGTGGAGAAATTAGCCTCCTGGGTTTGGCCTACATTTATATACTATATTTCTATGGAGTGTTGTAGTATGATGTTGATGTAGAATTCAGATCTTCAAATTACCAGTACAAAGACAACAGTTTGACTAAAAGTAATTTTGCAGCTAAATATTAATTTTTTATCTAATTGTTTACATATTATGAAATACTCTGATGTTCAGAAAATCCAAATAGACAGTGGATTGCTACTGTCACTGAACTAACTGTAAAACAAAAGTTATGCTGACATCTAGTGGTAACATACAAAAGAATCCAGGTTTTACCAAATCTTGATGATTCTTCACTTCTCTTCATAAATTTCACTCCTTGTCTGATATGCTTTCCTAAACTCTTCGCCAAGCATATCAATATCATCCTCTTTTTTAAATACTCCCTACAAGAAAAATATTTTGTGGGTTACTTTTAAATGCCATAATATCTCACTAAATGTTTTTAAGATTAACAATACATGGACAGGTTAGTTATCTCCAAGATTATGAAATCTATTCAACAGATTTATAAAACTTTTATATAAAAGAAATCAATATTTTCCTATAATTATGACTTGATTTATATATATACACACTGAATATTCTTAGATTGACCCAATTTCCTGATTTATCAGCTCTAGTGTAGGAACTTATCATAGGAATCTGGGCTCTACTACTTTATTACTACAAGTACTACTGCTTGGATTGCCTGGATGAGAAGGAATTTAATATACATTGTACCTCTACCCTTGTCTTAAAACAACTCTGTAATATATGAGGGAAGTCAGGGATAAAGAGACTGAGCTTTGCTAAATTCATGCATGGGATTGGTTCTTCAAGTGTCAGTTTTATGGCTAATCAGCAAACATTCAATTGTGCAGAAAAGAATCCAGGTTTAGAGTTGTCATTTAAGCAAGCCCTTTGAAATTTTTCACTCTTCTATTTTTCTTTTCCCCTATAGTATACAGCAAAAGTCTCTTTAAAAAGATAAACTTAAATATTTACTTGCAATCTAAAGGATTTAAAGAATAATTTATGTCATTTGAGGCCATCAGGACCTAAAGAATAAAGGACATTTTGGATATCAGGTTTATTAGGCCCTCTTTCTGCCTCCATATGGAAACCTAAAGACTCTCCTAGAATTTATAATCAATTTTATGAAATTTACCAATTATATGTGGGCTTTATCATTATTATATCATTTCAATCATTTCATATTCATTAATCCTGTCTAATCAATTAGACCATAAGGTCCTATGACCAGGCAATAATTACTCATATTTCTCCCTCCTTAGCACTAGACTGAACACAAAATATGAATTCAGTTCTACCAAATTAAAATATCAAATGGCATGATTTCTGTATCTGAAGGATGGTGATTTTATTTATATAAGTCTAGACATTTATGTGGCCTGTGAAACTTATTTATAATGGTAATGTGTCTCAGATATACATGAAAATTCACTGTCTTCTGGAATTACTTTTAAAAACCAAGGTTACCAAGTACCTAGTTGTAAGCTCCTACTATAGAGCAGATCTGTCAGACTCAGTTCAAGCATGTGCGTGTTAATGGTGTAACTGATAACAATGTTTTCACATATATTTTCATCTTTGGTATTCAAAGCATTACAGTTACTCTAGGGTAGTTTAGTTTTAGACCCCCTATGCTAAAAGGGGAGAAAAGAACCTGTAAAATATAAATTCAATAAATCTAGTTCATACCTCTAATAATAATGCACCAAGACCAGCTCTCTCTCATTTTAGAGATGTTTAAATGAGCCCAGAGAGATTCAATGCCCAGTCAAGATCCCACTGCTGCTTTGGAACAGAGCAAAAAATGAGTGAAATCTAGGCCCTCTGAAATCCTAATACCATGTTTTTCCCACTATTAGAGGTCATGAAACTTGAGATAAATCTCACTTACTTTAGGGAGATATCCTAGTAATTTTGTAGCATGTTCTTTGAGAAGTTTTAGCCTTTCTTCTTCAATAATTGCATTAATACATCCTTGTCTTCTTTGCTGCAACTGCCATTCTTCCAGTTCACGTTGCTGTAAATGTAAATCAAATTTTATTAACTGACACAAAATACATTAATCTTTTGAGTTTTCAAATAAAACTATTCTTGCAGTGAATTAGATGATAAAACTGATGAACTATTTATGACACTAAATTCAAAAGATACTAGTGTATACATTTTATATATATCATATATTTTATATGTATACTTGTATCTTTTACCATCATTATTCCTTTAAAATTATAAGAACAATAGTTATGACTGGGATTTTAGGGAGGCAAGAAAGAATTTCAGGAAGATGTCTTCATTACCAAGGAAAAAAATATCTTAAGGAGCGACTTCCTAATAAGTTCAATAAATATTTATTGAATGCTTCCCATATGCCAGGTGTTGACAGTTTACAGTATAAGACAAAAAATTAGTGAATAAAACAGAATAGGGATATCTAAAGGATAAATATTTTCATTATATAAAATATATATTTTTTCAAAGTCTGTATGAAGCACAAGAGTAGCAGCAAGAGTTCTAGCAGAAGAATGAGTATTCCTCAGAAAAAATTCTGAATACTCTTAGAGTATCGCATCAAAATTCTGTGCTATATAATATAGAGGAGATGACATTAGCTTAAAGTTTTAGCACTTAAAAGAACTCTTATGGAATTGTTTCCAAATAAACCTGCTGAATGGGAAAGGATACTAAAGGCAGAACATTCAAATAGTGATGAACTCCTGCCAAGAGTTCCTTTAAAGTAGTAGTAATGCTAAGCTTTCTCCTTGAAATAATTAGTTAACTGGAGTCACTACTTCTTCAGTCCACTCCTTGTCAAAGACATGTAAACCACAAAGGAGGATGTTTGTCTTTTTTGCTACAATGGGGGCAAGCTTCTATATAAACTAATAACTCTTCGAAGTTAGTGAATAAAAGTAAAGAATGATGCCAGGACATAGCCATACCTGATGCAACTTAAAACTAGAACTGCTTCTCATGAAAATATTTTTGTTTAATATTAGATGTGTTTTTTGTTACAAAATAAGAAACAGCATTGATAGCTAATTGAGAAAAATCGTACACTCTCACCCAATGATGGTTCTTGCTTCTGAATCAAAGGGTTGAACTGCTCTTAATTATTTTATCTCTAAGATGAAATAGGATAATAGAATCTGTCATGGAATCATTATACATGAATTTTTTTTTCCTTTTTTTGAGACTACATTTCTAAGGCTTCCCTTACAGCCAGGTATGGTCACAAAAGGACTAGGTTTTGGCCAGTGGAGTATAAGCAAAAGTGTCACATGGCAGCTTCCAGGAATCTTTCTATGTACACCCTTTATCCCTTCTTCACTTCTCTCTGCTGCTTGAAACATAGATGTGAAGGCTGAAGATCCAACTTAGAGTATGAAGATGAGGACTTATACCTATAGATGCCATAGTGAAAAGCTACAAGGAGCCTGAGTTCCTGTAGGCTACGGAACAGAGCCTCCATTCCAGCCCTGAACTTTCATGTTAGAGAACAGTAAACTATCTACTAAGCTACTGTTAATTTGAGACCCTATATTTGCAGCCAAACCTAATCCTAATTGATCCATTCCTTATATAGATATACAGATGCCAGAAAGTTTTGTAATGTTCCAGGGAAAGCACACTTGTTAGATTTTTGTTCAATGATGTAGAGTTTCTAATTTAGGCATAATGCAGGGTTTCCCTTCTTAGGATGTGGTAAGCCACATTAAATGTTTATCCTAAAAAAAAAAAAATATAGTAAATTAGGGTAAATAGTTCAAAAGGTTATGAAAACAATTTATACACTCAGGACAAATTCTGATCTGGGATGTTTCAGATTTCGTCTCACCATATAGATATCTATTTATGAACCTCTGAAATCTCTGAAATTTAAAAAACAGAGCCTTAAAGATTTATGTAATGGAGTGAATTAATGAATTTCATTATCACGAAGATCCGTCCTTGCCTTGGGGCCACAACAAAAATGTTGCTCAATCTTACTGAATCTTAAAGCTAAGCCCACAACTTCATATTGGGAACATTTATAATTTTTTAAAAAATTAAGACATACTGTTTGCTCAAGCATCTATGCATTAGGTGGTTTTATCTGACTTCAATTTATAGTGGTCTTGCTAACTTTTCTAGAAGCTTTCTGATTGGCTCTGTACACCATGAGACAGTCAATCACTGGTTCTACTTTTCTGTATGGAAAGAGCATTCAAAGTCTTCTGGTCCATTCCAAAAGCCTTTTAATTTTCTCCCTTCTTGATTGCAGTGCTCTTACTGATACAACTGATCACCTTCATTGATTCAACAAACACTTATAAAGTATTTACCACATGCCAAGCAAAGTGTAGGTGCTTTATTAATAATTATCTCCCTTAAAGGCTAGAGTTAGATTGGCTTATATGAAAGCTAAGGAACTGAGATTTTATCCTGCAGAAGTCCACTGAGGATTAGGCAGGAGGGAGACATAATGAGATTTTTTTAAAACAATGGTAACTGGTAGCAGATGGAGCAGTGTTACAAGGAGACCAATTAGAAGACAATTTCAGTAGTCTACGGGAATGCTATTGAATGTCTGAACTAAGTTACAAAGAAGAGAAGCTGGATTTAAAAGTTACTGCTGAGGTGAAATCAGTTGGCTTTGGTTGCTGACCAAAAATCGTTAAGTGAGAAAGGGAAAAAATCCAGGAATCATTCCAAGGTGATGGGCTTGGGTAACCGAGTGAATATGTTGCCTTTTTAACCAAGATCCAGGCTACTGGAATTAGAAAAGTTTTGTCTGGTTATATACACCCTTGGAAACTTACATTCCAAGGCACCCACAAGATTTCCCACTATGTACTTTGGGCATCTGTAAGTATGGCAACAGAATTATGACAAGAGTTGGATGATAACAGAGGAGGGCTAAAAATCAAATGCCAAGTATCCCAACACTTTAAGGAGCAGGCAAAAGACACAGCTGATCTCTCTTGCTTTTCTGTGACCATACCATCCAGATCCTCTTAACTTTCGAACATTTCTTGGTCCTTTCATTGGCTTTTTCTCCTCTTCCTACATCCCAAACTAGAATGTTCTCCAAGCCTCAGTCATTGGCCCTCTGACTGTTCCTCATTATAACATATTCTTTGGAGGAATCATCTTAGCATGAATCTCTCTGTGCTACTTAATCTCAGATATTCATTTCTAAGAAAACTTAACCTAAGATTCACTCTTCTGTACAACTACCATCAGGGTATTTTCAACTTGCATTTCTATTTCAAACTCAACATGCCTAAAACTGAAGTCATTAGATCTTCGCTCCAACTCAAAATATAACAGCACTTCGGGGCCGGCCCGGTGGCGCACTGCTACAGTGCGCCGCTTGGGAAGCGCGGCGGCGCTCCTGCCAAGGGTTCGGATCCCACATACAGACCGGCCGCTCACTGGCTGAGCGAGGTGCGGGAGCAACACCGAGGGTTGCGATCCCGTAGCCGGTCCCGGTCCGGTACGGGCGTGACACTGAGGGTTGCAATCCGTTGCCGGTCACGAAAAAAGACAAAAAGGAAAATATATATATATAACAGCACTTCTATTCCTTAAGTTTCTCATATTTGAAATCTTTGAATTATTTTGACTCCTTCCTCTACTCTACCCTATATTGTCAAAAAAAAAAAAAAATCATACAAGTCTCATATTCCTTTAAAAATATTTAAATTCTTCTCGTTCTCTCTCCTCCTGTTATTCTGTTTATAGCCTATTCCAAGTCATCACCTCACTTCTGAATTACTATTTTCTCCTCTTGTTCAAGACCATATTATGTTCAGTATCATATTAATCAACTTCCTACTGTATCATGTCTAAACTCCTCTGCTTATCATTACAATTTCTCCAGGTGGTATGATTCCATGTGCTGCCAATTTAGAATAGCTTTCCCTGTCTCCTTTTATTCTCTCTTATGTATTTCCAGGTGAATCCACACAGTTCTGCCATAAATGTATTGCACAGTTAGTAAATTACACACTACCAAATTCTATAAATGTTAATATTGTACAATTTAAGAATTGTATTCTTAGTATATCATGGAGTTTTATACATTATCCAGTCTCTTGGGCTTCTATACCCTACTCTCTGCACTAGATCAGAAGCTACCAGAATGAGCTTTTGTTTGTTTTGGTTCCCTCACCAATACACAGCTGAACGTCTAGCAGGTCAGTATCTGTTGATTACAAAAATAGACTGGGAATTCTTTTTGTCCACCCATGAAGGAAAAGATCAGCATTATGATATTAATTAATTTATTAAACCTAGCTCTGCCACTTATTTACTGTGACTTAATTGCCTTGGGCAATATACATAATTTCTCTATGCCTCAGTTTCCACACCTTTAAAATGGAGATATAATAGCACGTAACTCAAAGGACTGAAAGTTAAAAGTTACTACTTTGTTTGTAATGAGATTAGAATAGTGAATGACATATAGAAATGCTCAATAAGTGTTAGTTACTACTAATATCACTTCTATTATTACTTAAAAAATATTTACCATGTATCTAAACTGTACCCTTCATATTTAGAACTTTTTATCTTTTCAAAACACACATTATCTCACTTGGTTCTTAAAGCACAACAATCTAGTGAGATATTATATCAATATTACTTCAGTTTTATGGATGAAACATAAACAGATAAATCAATGTGTCAAAAGTCACAAACCTAGTTCCCTCTACAACTCTTAAATCCACATTTCCAACTAGAAATCTTCCCCTTGGCCTGAAAATCAATGTGGATAAAATGGAATTATATACCCACTCAAAATCCATTTTTCTTCCTACATACTCTTTCTTTAGAACATCACTCACTCATTAAAGGTGAAATAATAGTATTATTTATTATTAGTAGCAGCCTTCAGTCTTCTCTCACCTCGCCAGATCTAACTGGTCACCAAGCCCCATCAATTCTATATTATCAACATCTCTCAGATGGATCCCTTCTCCATTTGCATGTGTTTCACCACTTATCACTGGGATTGCTGGAATAACTTTCTTACTGGTCTCCCCATCTACAGTCTTACTCCTCTCACATCTCCCCTCAATGCTGCAACTTGAGTCGTCTTTCAAAATGTAGATCTTAACACACAGCTTTCCTAATTATTCACTGGCTCTCCTTAGAAAAAGTTCACGTTTTTAGAATAGCATCCAGGGTATTCATGATCCATCTTCTCTCTGCCAAACTAACACATCCATACCTGCATAATTATTATCACAAGGACATGACATATCTTTATAATTTTTTCTTAACCAAGACCATAAATTCATAGATGACATGTGTACTTAGTTGTATTTACCTTTATGTTCTCAACACCAATCAATGTTTAGCACATAGAAAGCATAAATGCATTAATAAATGATTGGTCAGAAAATTTATGTATCACATGATTAGCAAACAAATACCTAACATCATCTGGCACATAAAAGTCTCTTAGTAAAAGTTTAGCGGATGAACAGATGAGTCAGCTGCTCCTCAGTGACAAAAAAAATATTTTTCTTACTTTGTCTGCAAGGAACTGGTCGCGACGCTCTTCAATAAGTTTTTCCACAGCCCTCCTGTGTTCCAGTTGCTTCATTCTTTGTTTCTGAGCATTCATTAATTCAATTCGATCATCCTCAGCAAATTTAGCTAGCATAGTTTTTCTAAAGATCTCCTCTTCCTCTTTTGCAGCCTGTAGTATTAGTTCCTTCAAGGCCATTTGTTCTTCAAAATCTTGCTTCATCTCTTTTTGCTTTCTCAATTTCTCTTCTGCTTCTTCCTAAACAACAATACAGCTAACAGTTAACTCAGTAACCATTTCCTTACATCGGATTTATAAAGAAAGGGTGGGATAGAGTTTTTTTAAGCTTAGCATTACAATATGAAATTATACAAACTGAAAAATTAAGCCTTTTCATGATAACACTTTGCCCCATCCTTTTAAAACCAGTTGGATAAAGGACATGTTACCTTTGGATTGCCTTCTATTATTTATTTTTAAATTTTAACTTGTATGCATTTGCTATTTTGTTTCTGTACTGAGAATTAACACATAACTAAAGAGCTGATATAAAGACTTTTTTTTGCACACCTGAATTTAATAATCTGAGGTCTATGAAATTCATACCAACAATGAATCATTTTACAATCTTGCTTCAAACAGCTGTCCAAAGCACTGATAAATATTTTTTAGTTTCCAGCTTCTTCCCTTTATGAAATCATAGCTGCATTTACTCATCTCTAGTCTTCTAATACTCCTTCCATTCTCCAAAATTCTCTAAAATATAAAAACTATAATTTAGCAATGACAATCAGAACTTTTCAGGGAAATTCAAATTTACTTGGAGCAGATAAAGTCCTTTTCTATAAGCTTTTATTTTCCAAACATTTTTTTTTATAAAAAATATCAAACATATCAAAAAATACAAAGAATTTTACAGTGATCACCCAAATACCTAACACCTCAATTCTACCAATAATATTTTACTGTTCTTGCTCTATCAACTATCTATTCAATTAGGACTAATGTAAGCTTTAAATCCAGCTAGATGATAGGAAAAAAGTTCTGGTGAGGTACAGTAGTGCTAGGTATCCCTAATTAACCATAATTTATTGTATGTTCTCAAATGGCTAGAAGAGAAGTGCTCACATGTTTTCACTGCAAAGAAATGATAAATTTTGCAATGATGAGTATGTTAACTACCTTGATTTGACCATTGCACACTATATACATGTATTAAAATATAACTCTGTACCCCGTAAATATGTACAATCAATACATTTCAATTAAAAAATAAATTCCTTTAAAAAAAACCCTAGCTAAAAAAGAGAAATATAGTTTAACTTTATAGTCTTTATAAAATAGTAAGACAAGTTTTAAAAGGGCGGGGGGAGGCAACTGTAGGAGTGGGTGTTAAGTGAGCCAATCTGCAGCATCAGCTATATCAACTTTGTTCATTATATTCTATATTGAGTATTCAACCTCTTCTAATTATCCTCATCTAATTCCCTTTCAAATGCTATCTCCTCCATAAACTCTTCTCCAAGCACTATGACTCATACCCATCTCTCTTTCCAGCCTTTTAACTAAATAGTATTTAATTTTTTCATCACTTAATCTTATTTCAAGTGTATATGACATATCTTCTCACTGAAAATAAATTCCTAGAGGGCATATCTTATTTTCCTTTGGGATGCTGGGCACATCGTGTTTTGATAATATATATATATTTTGTGTTTATTTGCTATGTATTATATACAAGTCAAAAGGCTCACTGGAGGCAGAGATACTGTTTCATTTAGTTTTGAATTCTTCCAGAGCTTATCATATTTTGCACACAGATGTGTAATTCATATTTAAGTATATGAACTGTTGACATTTCTTGGCATCCATCTCCCATAGGAATTTTAGTTTAATCCAATGTTGAAGATATCTGGCTAAAACACAGGAAATGATTGGCAAAACAAACACCCTTCATTATATTTTTCAACTACAAAAATGTTCATGTACTCTTTCATAGGTCTGGATCAGGATTCTGCTAGTTATATAATATGAACTGCATAATTTTCTACTCTTTTCTATGTTCTAAAACCCACTATATGGTTTTAGGAATAGCTGTTTATTGAAATTTTTAAATAATTTGTGTAAAAACACTCCAAGCCTGGAAACCTTTAGGGTATCTTAATCTGGGTTCTCCTCTGGAAGCATAGCCTTAAACAAAGATTTGTGTATACAGATACTTCACTGGGGAGGTAATCCCAGGAAACAGCAATGAAGGGCAAGCAGAGTGAAACAGGGAAGGAAGAAAAACCAACACAAGCGTGCGTCACTGAGCTGGTTACCGCTGTGGGCAAATGAGGCTCAGTCCTGCTAGGACCTTGCAAGGAATGCACAGAGTGCTCCCAGGACCTTCCTAAGGGTGGACAGGAAGAAGCATTTATCCATTAGTTCCTGTCCAGTCTTGGTTTAGAGATGCGGCAGAGGATGTTAACTCCCTGCTCCCACCCATACTCCCACACTTCAGGAAGCTGTCAGCACAGAGTCAGTGTAAGCCCTCACAGATGTTCTCCGCAGCTGCCACTGGAATCCGAGGTGAGGCTGAGAGGATGGGAGGCAGGGCACACACGGCTTTTGATACAGGAGATTCAACGGTACTTCAGAAAGTTTGTGGGAAGATGGAATTAAAAGATAATACAAATCTTTCCATGAACTTTTTGAAGTGCCCTTGTAACCTTAATAATCTTATTTTGCCTGATTTTTCTACATTTTTTGAAATTACTATATTTTTTACTCAGAAAGTTGTGCCATGGAGATTTTCACATTTTTTATCAATATACAGTAAACAACTTCTCATTGTTTTTCTAATCTTCTCTGTATTTCCCTTTATAGACCATGGATTCCTTCAAATTTTGTTTTTACTTTTTCTTTCTTATTATGTTTTTCCAGAGTAAACTGCTTTTGTTTTTTTCCCCAATATTAAGCAACTGGATTAATTAATCTAATGTGTTTTCTTGATTTTTACTAATTACCACTTGTAACCTCTAGTATTTCTTTCCACATTGTTGCCTTATACTTCAATTTGTATTACTTTCTAAGTTACTGGGTTGACTGCTTATGTAACATTTTTCTAAAAAATTTATCTAATAATTTAATAAATTTAATAATTTAATTAATTTAATTTCTCATTTAATAAGTAATTGTCTCTGAGATCAGTTTTATAAAATCTGATCAATTTTGATATGTTAGTCATCTCATTCTCTAAATAGCTGTAAATTTTCAACCAATAATAATTGAGAAGAATGTTTTTAGACTTTCAGTTAGTAGGTTAAAATATTTCTTACTAATTTCTAGTGGTGTGTTAAACACCCTTTCCCCCTTGCATATTCAGATAAATTTCCTTTAGATTTTTAATAGCTTTTAAAATTATTTATTTCAATGCAGCGTTACATGGAAGATTGTTTATTGTTACACCTTCATTATCAATTATATCTTTTATCTGTGATACCTGGGATTCATTTGATGTTCCACTTATCTATTCATAACCCTACCGAACTGCTTCCCATTTGTCCATATATACCTGTTATGCCTTCATTCATCATTTTATTCTTAACTTTTCAGGGTAATTTGATATTAGGTATATATAAGTAAATTACATTAAGATATCTCTAAAAAGGTCTGTATTCATTTTATTGTATATTCCTATACGTGGTTAACCATTGAGAATATACATGCAATAGGTTTTGATATAAAAAATACATGGTATCTATTTCCTCCTCATTGATGAAACAGTGTATCCAAAAAATAAAAAGGATCTGTTTTGATATAGCTGAAAAACATTAAAAATAATAGTAGCACTAGCTACTATTTATTACATACATGTCTATTTATCTTGTTTTGTGAAGTATCTGTTCAAACCGTTTATTCACTGAAAAAAAAAGTAGGTTCTTCATATTCCATTATCAAGTTATAAGTGTTCTTTATATATTCTGGATAAAAGTTCTTTGTAAGATATATATATAGAAAATACTCTCTCCCAGATCATGGCTTGCATTTTTGTTATCCTAATGATGTTAGAAAGTTATTAATTTTGATAAAGCCCAATTTATTTTTTTTCCCCAACCAAGTCCAATTTATAAACTTTTTTCCTTATGGCTCATGCATTTTATATCCTACTAAAAATAAAAAAATCTTTGCCATTCCCAAGTTCATGAAGACTTTCTCCCATTTTCTTCTAGAAATTTTGTAGTTTCAGGTTTTTCTGTTTATATCTGGGACCCATTTTGAGTTAATTTTTGTGTATAATATGGTGAAAAATAGCAAGTGCTGGCAAGGATGCAGTGAGATTGGAACCCTCACACATGGGTAGTGGGAATGTAAAATGGTACAGCCTTTGTGGAAAACAGTTGGGCAGTTTCTCAAAAATAAAACAAAATTACCACATGACCCAGCAATCCTTCCACTGCTACGTATATACCCCAAATAACTTTAAAAAGATATTCAAACAAAAATTTGTACACAAATGTTCACAGCAACAATAATTGCAATTGCCAAAAGGTAGAAACAAAGCAAGCATCTATCAGCTGTTGAATGGAAAAGCAAAATCCATATAATGAAATATTATTCAGACAAAAAAACGAATGAATTACCGATACATGCTACAACATGAATGAACCTCAAAAATATCATGCTAAAGGAAAAAAGCCAGACATGAAAGGCAATATATTGTATGATCCCAATATATGAAATGTCCAGAGTAGCCAAATCCTTTAAGACAGAAAGCAGATTAGCAGTTGTCAGTGGCTAGAGGAATAGGGGATGGGTGCAAGTATCTTTTTGGAATAATAAAAATGTTTTGAAATTAGGTACAGGTGATGGTTTCACAACATTGTGAATGCACTAATTGCCAGTGAACTGAACTTCATTCAGATGGTTCAAGTGTTAAATTTTATGTTATGTGAATTTTTACTTCCATTAAAAAAAGCACTGATATAACTGAAAGGAGAAATACACAAATCCACAATTATGGGCAGAAACTTCAACAACCTCTCTCTCAACAATTGACAAAACAACTAGACAGAAAACTAGCAAGGATAGAAAAGCTCAGCAACACCATCAAGCAATGGTATCTAATCAACATTTACAGAACACTTCACCCAACAACAGCAGAATATACATTCTTTTCAAGTACCCACAGAACAAATTTAAAGAAATTGAAATCAAACTGAGTGTGCTCTCTGACCTCAATGGAATCAAACTAGAAATCAATAACAAAAAGATAA